CTTTCCCATTCCCTTCCCACCGTTCCCGCTCCTTTCCCACCTTTCCCACTCCCTTCCCACCTTTCCTGCTCCCTTCCCACCTTTTCCGCTCCCTTCCCACCTTTCCCATTCCCTTCCTGCCTTTCCCGCTCCCTTCCCGCATTTCCCGTTTCCTTCCCGCCTTTCTCATTCCCTTCCCACCTTTCCTACTCCCTTCCCACCTTTCCCATTCCCTTCCTGACTTTCCCATTCCCTTCCCACCTTTCCCGCTCCCTTCCCACCTTTCTCATTCCCTTCCCGCCTTTCCTGCTCCCTTCCCGACTTTCTCATTCCCTTCCCGCCTTTCCCGCTCCCTTCCCACCTTTCCCATTCCCTTCCCGCCTTTCCCGTTCCCTTCCCGCCTTTCCCACTCCCTTCCCACCTTTCCCATTCCCTTCCTGCCTTTCCCGTTCCCTTCCTGCCTTTCTCGTTCCTTTCCCACCTTTCCCGTTCCCTTCCCGCCTTTCCCGCTCTTCCCGCCCGGCTCTGGGCTCCATGACGGCCGTCGGGGTGAGGGAGGAGGCACCGCTCTTGGGGTGCTGGGTTTGGGGGTGTTGGTTTAGGGGTGTTGGTTTTGGGGGTGCTGGTTTTGGAGTTCCTGGGTTTTGAGGGTGTTGGGTTTGGGGTTGCTGATTTTGGGGTGCTGAGTTTGGGGTTCCTGGGTTTTTTTAGGGTGCTTTGGTTTGGGGGTGCTGGTTTGGGGGTTGCTGGTTTTGGGGTTCCTGGGTTTTGGGGATGCTGATTTTAGGGATGCTGGTTTTGAGGATGCTGATTTTAGGGCTGCTGGTTTCGGGACACCCCTCGGTGTGATGGAGGAGGTTCTGACTCCCCTCCTGCCTCCCTTCCCCTTCCTGGCCCCCCAAAAAACGAGGCCACCCTCAGAAGGCGGCGAAGGCCGCGGGCCGATCCCTCGCCGCGGGGGCGTCGGGACGGCGCTTCCCGGAGGGGTCGGATGGTTTGGGAGGTGCCCTTTTTTCCGTAGGGCGCTGCCAAGATGCTGCTGGAGACCGGGGAACACCCGGCAAAGCTGCGGGGGGACGTCTGCACCCCCGGGGGCACCACCATCCACGCGCTGCACCAGCTGGAGAAGGGAGCGCTCCGGGCCACCGTCATGAACGCCGTGGAGGCGGCCACCAACCGCGCCTGGGACATGGCCAAGGACTAGTTGGCCCGGCTTTTGTCCCAGGAAGGGGTGATGGGAACCAAAACCGGCCTCTTCCAGGAGATCCTGATGCCCTCGGGAGAAGCTGGAGGGGGGTGGGAAGGTGGCGTCGGGTGCATGTTACCTCAGCGGGGTCGCGACCAAATAAACGTGGGCACACGTGGCTCCTCCGGGTGCCTTCGGTCCTGGGGGGTGTGGGAGCCACCACGGGGTCACCACCCAGCCATGGGT